AGATGCAGGGAGACAGGTGTGGTGGCTCTGGTGCTGTGGCTCAAGCCTGTAATCCCAGCACTTTGGGAGGCAGAGATAAGAGCCCAAGGGTTCAAGACCAGCCTGAGCAACTTGGGGAGACCTCATCTCAACAATAAATCAAAAAATTAGCCGGGAGTGGACGCATGCTTGTGAATGCAGCTACTTGGAAGGCTGAAGTGGAAGGATGGCCTAAGCCTAGCAGGTGAAGGCTGTGGTGGTCATGAGGGTGCCACTGCTCTCCAGCCTGGGCAACAGAGTGAGACTCTGACTCAAAAAAGAAAAAAAAAAAAAAGAGATGCATCCCAAGACAGCATTACAGAGTCATAAAATACTTTGATTTTCCTTCTTTACCTCCTATGTGATGTTATGTCAGAATCAAGTTGGAAAGTAAACAATTACAGGAGTAATCACAAGAAAATGAACCTGTCTTCTCAGTCCCCTTAGTTAGAAATTTGAGAAGGTAAAGAAAAAGGTCCTTACCTCAAAGTAAAGTAAAACCACAAATCTGAAAACAGCATAATCTCTAGGTAATTAACAAACAAAACTCATACCTTTAAAAATAGAGCCGCAATTCCACTTCCACTGAGCATGGGTTGGGATGCCTAAATAAAGTCTGAATTGCAGCGAAAGCCAGGGCAAATTGATGCCAGAAAGAGGCCTTTCAGAAACCTCCACCAGCTCCCATGCAGCCAGGTGAGTGGAAGCATCTTCTGCAAGTACAGAAGCTCTGAATGTCAGCAAAGCAGCTAGGATTGCAGGAAGACTTACTCTGAGTCTTTTCATGGGCCAACCTAATAGCATCAAAAGGATAAGAATTTAATTTAATACCAGTTTATTCAAGCATACAGTAAGGGCAGCCATGAGGGGCGGGGTGAGGTGGGGCAACCCACACCAAAGAATGGTGGATGAGGAGGTGGCTGAAGATTGTTTATAAAGGAAAAGCAAGTCCGGCTTGGTGGCTCAGCCTATAATCCCGCGCCTTTGGAAGGCTGAGGTGAGAGGATTGCCTGAGCCCACGGGTTCGAGACCCGCCTGGGCAGCGAGACCTCATCTCTACAATAAACCAAAAAATCAGCCGGGCGTGGTAGCGCATACCTGTAATTCCAATTCCGGCTACTCGGAAGGCTGAGGCGGAAGGATCTCCGGAGCCTGGCAGGTCGAGGCTGCGGTGGCCGGGAGCGGCCACTTTACACCAGTCTGGGCGACAGAGTGAGACTCCGACTCAAAAAAATATATAATAAATAAATAAATAAATAAATAAATAAATAAATAAATAAAGGAAAAACAAAGGTGCTGAACAGAATGACATTGTCCTTACAAAGGCTGATGTAAGATGTAAGATTTGTTTGACTGCTATTGATTATACTCCAATGGAATAGTTTAATGTTCTATTGTAAAAAGGTAACAGTCACAAGAGTCTCTATTTCCATGTCATTTAGCCTAGGTTTGAATACAGACAATATAACATCTCTACACAAAGGTCAAAAAGTAAATATTATGCACCAGAGAAGAAAAACAGTCATGTTATTTGAGTCAGCTTTCAGACAGTTAACTTTCTCTTTGGCATGATAAATTCAGAATGTTCTGAATATTTTTTTAAACTCATGCTAAAGTTCCAAGTCACAAAACTGAAATAAGTTGTCATCTAAATGAATGTGGAGGTCATGGCTGTTGGCTGGCTAAAGGCATGCTGAAAAATCTGTGGCACGAGAGAGACTGATTAATAGGAAAAGAGGCATACACATTTTATTTAACACGTGTACAGGGGAGCTTTCAGAATGAAGACTCAACTTCCCAATGAGTTACAGAGATTTAAATACATCTCCAGGTTACTGAAAGAATGGGGGATTTGTACTCTGGTAAAACAAGTTATGGGGCAGGGAAAAAGAGGAATTTTATGGAGAGGCAACAAATGACAGGAGACTGAATAAATAGAGGAAGTAGAGATTAACTTATAAATAGTTCTCTTTGAAAGTTGAATGAAACTGAGAGACAGGCATTATTTGGTAAAATTGTCGGGCCAGGTCTTATTACATTCTTTCTTTCCTTTCCTGGTAACAGGGAGAGAAAGCAGCTTGGGGGAGACTATGAGGGTGGGGGGTAGATCAGAGAGACTGTGAGGCAAAACTCTTCATGTTTTGGGGTATAGACTTCTGAGCTCCAACACAAAATCCAAGAAATCAGGAGAGAGGGAAAAAACAGTCAGTTTTCCAAATAGTCTAATTTCAATCTTCAATCTGCATGACAACAACGTTTCCTCTGCTTTAATCGTTACATACAAAAAAGTAGCCTAAATTAACCTGACATCAACTAATCTGTTATTTTTATATTATCCGTCTTCCTGTTCCTAAAATGTAACTTTAAAAAATAACACATATGCTCTTTGTTTTTTGTTTTAGTCAGCTCTTTTCTGTCTAAAAAGCCAAACTCTTCTGCTCAGCACATCAGAGCACTTATTATATTTTATTGAACACAGCGTTGCCCAATTCTAGAACTTCAAATAAAGCCAATTGAGATCTGTAAGCTAAATTTGTTCTAATATTGTCTTTTTTTTTTTTTTTTT